TAAATTATTTCATTCCAGACTCTCCCATGGGGGAGGACTGCTGTGAAGCTGCAGTGATGGAAATCTGAGATGTAGGTACTGGCCAAAGGCCAGCAGAGATACTGGTTGCTTGGGTGTGCTTGTTCTTTCCCAGCTTCAAAAGTGTTTCAGCAGGGGAAAAAGAAAATTAAATGTGCCATGATGATTGGAAAAAATTAAAATGTTGCCACATTACAGCATAAGAAATTAGGCATGGAGGTGCTTCTGAAGAGCAATTAAAAGTACATCACTTCAGCTGTCCCCATTTCCCATCAGTTACTGACCCACAACTCAGAGGATGGCCCCTAACGCAGGCTGTTCCCGTGGCTGGCGCTTCACCTTACTTTAGCTCAGAAAAGAGCAGTAAATAAACAAACAGGAATAAAACCTCCTCACCTACCCTTCCCTGCAATTATTTATGATGCGAATACTAATTTTCTTCCACTAATTCATCAAGAAAATCCCTGAATCTGAAAGTTATGAATGGATTTTTGTGAATTTAAATTGCCTGACCATGGTATAACTCTCCATGTCGTTTCCAATCTGCTCTTAAAGCAAAGAAAACAAAAACAATAAATCCTTGTAATCAATGTCTGCAGAAATGTTCACTTGTCCCATCTGCCTGGTGATGTTTTGTTAAAAAATCATGCAATTAGGAGCCTAGAAGATGTAGAAATATGCATTTTGAGCTCTTCCACAGTTTTAATGGTATATCCTACTGTCTGTACATGTTATTAGCAGGTTTTTTGCAGTGCATCCTATTAACCAGCTGACTTCTTGCTGCTATCTGTTATATAAATCTGCACTTTGCAATACAGCAGAATAATTTGCAGTGTGGCACTCCTATGATAAGGATAAGAGGATTTTTTTTTTTATCATCATTATGGATGGTAATAATTCCTAGAGTGATACAGTGATATTGATCCACTGATCTAAAAGAAGCATTTTATAAAGGTAGAAGAGCATTGCTATCCTTATTTTAAAGAATGGGATAACAGAAAAATGATGAGAGACTAACTCTCCTATGGTCAATACAGGACATCAGTAGCACAGCTACAAATCATACCTGGGTATTTCTGGCTATTTTTGGCACACTCTGGCTATCGTTGCCGGACTGTCAGTGCTGGCACCTGTGGTCGCGCAGACATTACACAATGCTAGGAGTCAGGAGGTCTGATAGTTTCCTTAAGCCGTTTAAAATAAGTGATTTAAAATCTTAATCATCTGAGGCAGTTCACTTCTGCTTTTTCATGATAATGAAGCTTAGCACATGATATCACAATCATGAATTTTTGTAAAGCACACTTTGCTCTTCAGAAAAAGTGCTGGATTAAACAACCCTGCAGGCTGAATCCTTCTCTTTGAATAATGAATACAGTACAGGCAGTGGCAAGCTTCTTTAGATAGTCCCACGAACCGGGCTAAAGGAAGGCCAGCCTCCATGTCTGTTGAGTCCCTGGTTTCTTTATCTCTACAGCCAACAGGGTATTTTTATTTTTTAATACTTCTCACAGCCAGGAATTACTCTTTGCCAGGCAACTAATTTCACAGGGACTACCCCAGAGTCTTTGGAAAGCAATGCTTTTTGGTTCCTGCCTACATCTTGTAGCTGGCCGGAATATAACAAGTAACAGATATAAACAACTATTTCTCAGATGCAGGAGTGGGCAAAAAAAAAAAGTGACTCAAGGAAAACAAAACTTCAGTTTCTTTAAAATATACTGCTCCACCACTGGAGCTTTGTATCATTATTTTAGGCTCGTTTTACAGACGAGTTTGAAACAGCTGACAATAGGAATTTGGAGCAGAAATGCTGATGGTCCATTATCAGTAGTGACAGCAACGGGTGTGACTTTATTAAAGTTCTGTCAAGTCTTGGCTAGAGACTACAATAGAAACAACCAGTTCAATCTCCTCCTCTCTCTTTATCTTAGCACTTATATCACACTCATCACAAAGTGTTACATTTTCCCTTGATGCCACAGAACAGGATTTCTCCTTGCTGCTGGAGCCACGTGGTACAGCACAACCCTACATCTCATCCACAAGCTGAGAGCAGACTGTTGCCGTGCTAGCGGCAAGGTTGCTGCTGGAGTGTAGGCATGGCCTAAAAGTCAACTTACTCTTTACTAAGAAAAAAACCCAACAAAGCAGCACAAACCAAAACTGTTTTACCGAGCTATGTAGCCTGGAGCTACTCCTCGCAACTATCACAGGTAATAAAGACTATCTGCCCGAATCCTTCAACAAAGCTCAAAAGTTGGCATAAATACCAATGAATATACTTTTCAGGCTCTTTTTGTCCAAGATACCGTGATGCGCACTTGTTATGCAATTAAAAAGAGATGCCAAACAGAGCTTACTGAACCATATTTCCATCTCACCGCTATGAGCACTGCTAGTTCCCAAAGGCTCTGGCACGGCGAGCACAGGGTTTCCCTGAGACAGGGACTCTTTTTCGTTCACCCCTCTGTGTCTAGAAGGGAAGAGCATCTGAACGGGTGCCAGGAAAACAAATCCTGTTTGTGGCAAAGGGAATCAGCATCTTGGAAATTGTAACATGAATTAAAACTCGTGAAGTATTGGAACTCATTACAAAGATTTAACTGTATAAATTCTTCCTCCTGCTTTAGCAAAGCAGCTTTCCACCCTGTGCTTTTTCAGCCAGGATCCCTTCACTGCAAACCTCTCTTAGCACTTTTCATTTCGGCTGCAATACCAACCATTTTGCCAACACTCTGCTCTCTCACATGGAGCGGTGGTTTCGTGAACCTGATAAACATCTGCCTGAAAACCTGGCTGGCACAGTTGAACTCATTTTCAAGTGTCAACATGGGTGTGTAGAAAGCAACCCAAGTTTAACACGGCAGGATGCATAAGGGCATGATATTCTATCAGTCATGACTGGGACTGAAGTAAACCCGAGTGGCAGAGAGGATACGACTCTGCTATGGCTACTGGTGTGTGACCTACCTGGACTGAGATCTTCAGCCTCCAGCAGAAGAGAGCACCACATTAACCCTATGACCCTGCCGCCCTGCCTGATACATCAGTGACATGGTTTCAAAATCTCGGTTTCTGATTATCATGAGACTCCTATTTAAAACTGCTCCACCAACCTCACTTGCCCTGTTGAATTTCATAATTAGCTTTTCTACACTCATACTATGCCCAATGTCTGTTGAATAAAAGTAAGTATGCAGTGGGATTTCTATGGATCCCAGGAAAGATCCATTTCCTTGTTGGGTGATGCCGAGGAGTCAATTAAATCTTTTTGGGAGTCCAAACATTTGATGCCCAGATCTTGTTATTTCAGCAGTTACTTAGCTCCTTTCCTGCTTGTGTCCTCCATATGCTACTTAGAAAATCAGAAATATTTGTTTTGCCTCAATGTTGGGTACAGAAAGATTATGACAGCACTCAACCCCAACTGTAACATTTATTACTGAGCTGTAGGAACCAACCTCAGACATTTCCCCTAGTCTTCCCCGAGGCAAAAGCCATGATCCTGATGCTTTCCTTGCTTGAAGGGACTGCTGCTTCCAATCCCCAAAAGTTTTGGTGTTGCAGACTAAGCATACATAAATGTAAGTGCATAATTTTCTTGGGGCTTCCTATTTATTGTCAGTGACTTTTCAACAAGTCCTCATTACATGGTAGTAAGTGCTTTGAAGCAGCACTATGAAATATAGGAATATCTGCAACTTCCCTTGCTGAAATTTATAGGCATTTTAAAGAAGCTGGGCTACACTCAAACCAAAAAAACCCAAGCATGAATTGTTGCACAAAATACTGGGGATTCTATAGCCTACTGGAAACATGTTGATTCAAAAGTAAAGAAAAGTAGCTTTATCTATAATTATATATCTATATATCATCTATATATCTATATCTCTATATATCTATGTATCTATATATATCTATATGCAAAATGGGTACTACTATTTTTTCTGTGACTTTTGAAAATGTAATAAAATGCATAAACTGTGCTTTCTATGTTTTTTAATATTTTTTTTTAATTCTATAGAAACAGAAGTGATGTTTTCACAGCTCCACACTTAAAATTACTTTACTCCCTGTGCCATTACATGTCCATGGCTAGTACCACAGCATTCTTCCACACTGACAGACAGCACTATCACTATTTTCTTTTCCACTCAGCACCACCTGGCACTGACTTTTTGAGAAGGTTCACGCTCTGAGAATAATTTCAGGTCCACATACCATGGGGTTAATATGCAGCCTAGGTCATCAACATACATTTGTTTTTCTCTACAATATGTTTTCAGAGGGCCTTTTCCCAAAAGGCACTTTTGCACTCAGAAGGGATCACCAGCTATTGAAGTCTGTGCTGCACTTCATTTCCAATGCTCAGGTCGGCCGCTTGACCAATTTCAGTGGTGCTGCCCTGGTTTTTGGGTTGTGACAGAAGCACAAGATTTAAAAGCTCTTTTTACAAACTTTTGTCCAGGCAAATCTCTCCAGTTCAAGCTAACCTCTTTGTTTCTCAGTTACAGCAGACCTATGTTTTGCACAGAGCTATAGAAAACACAGGAATTGAGGAGACGGTCCTACAATGTGGGCCAGTTCCCATGACCCTGTATGCGTTCAAGCGATCATCTAAAGTCCTTTTTTATTTTATTTTGGCCTTATGCAACAAAGCAGAAATGGGGTCAGGGAAGGATCTTTGATTTTGTGATAGCAGAAAACTGAGGGTGTTTTCTCAGGGTGCAAAAGAACTTTTCCAGCTGACAAACAGGGCGATAACACAAATTAATACGTTGGCACCGAGACCTTTCTGCCATCAGAAATAAAAGGTGATAATTTCAGTCACTGTGAAAAGTTCATGTGGACACCTTCATCACGTGGGACATACTACAGCATAACCTCTAGCAGCAGACAGCAGCTACGCCTACCTTGGCTGTGACATAGAGCTCCCAATTAGCACTTCAGGAAAGAGACTTTACAGACTGCACACTCACCTCTGCTCAGCCCATCCGGTCCCCGAAGGATTCGGCATTCTTCTATCTGGCCAAACGGAGAAAACATCACCCTGATATCATTCTCATTACACTTCTTCGAAACCATTCCTATGAACAATTTTCTGTCTTCCACAGCTAGAAGATAAAAATAATGAATGAGCAAAGGCCATTTCATCTTTTTCCTGTGATCAATGCTTCATTACCACATCAAACTAAGCTCCAGTCATGTGAGTCTGGCTCTGTAACTGAAGACAAGTCCTAAGGCAAACACTTTATACTTACAACCTCCCTTCCCCCCTTCCTCCCCAACCCCAAATCTCTCGTTTTTCTTTTTCTCTCTCCTTTTTCTAGTCGTGCTTGCTGTTTATATAACATATTAATTGGCTGCCTTAGTCATTCTGCATATGTCTCCCCATCACAGCTTCTACGAAAAAAAGCATCCTCTCTTAGAGAGGCTTTTAAAGATAACTACACATAGATTTTAATTCAGATAAATTCCCTCACCTCCCTCATGTACGAAAGAAACCATGACAGTGGTGAGGGTGAAGAAGGGATTGCGCACGTAACGATATGAGCTAATGAAAAATATTCCTGAGAAACATTTTGAGAGAGCAGCTCCTATTTGAGCTTTCAATTTCAGCCAACCTAATGCATGGTACTCAAAAGGCAGATGTGTAACAACTCCTCTGGAAAAAGAAGAAAAAGAACACATTCCATTTTCCTTTTTTTTTTTTCCTTTTCTTTTTTTCCCCAGACTGCCACAGCTCTTTCCCCTTCAGGAGGACTGAAAGCACATTCCAGAGTATCACTTTAACAAGGGGGCTGCATAATGCTTTCCTGAAGCCAAACCTTTTGATTTGTAATGATGCTGAGTTTGCAAAAAAAACCCACAACCCCACAAACGTGACAAAGGTGCTTTATCTGAATTATTGGTAGAATATTTCCTGCCTGCATTGTCACCAACATCCGCGACAGCTAGACTGCCGCAGCAGGACACATCCAGTCCTCTTCATCAAACTCACATTTACAGGTCTAAAGCTGTGGACTTTTGTCAAAAATGAAACAGGTCGTCAAAACTTAATTCACCCTGGAAAGACCTAAAAATGTTAACGCACCCTCCCATCTATATTAAACCAAAAATCTAAGTGCTTCTTATAGAGTATATCCACCAGTGCTTTCTTCTTTGGAAATGGCATCTAAATCCAGTGCACTGTGAATGAGCACACTGACAAAGTTTGCGGAGAAGCAAAGAGAGAAGGAAAGCTTTACTCCAGAGAGTCTGCAGTGCGCTTACTTATTTCTATTATTGTGCAAATTATTTTTGCAATGGAGTATTTCCATTTCTGGGCTTACAAAAAAATATAATGAATCTTTTCTTGCTCCCCAACTCTCTCTCCTGTATTAGTACATGTTTGTCAAATAGAATAAATTGGAGCTGAGGAAGTAGAAACTGTGTCTATTTTCAGAGGATTTTATTTGTGTTATACTTCAATGCTTTAAGTGCATTTAATAATTTCAACAATAAAAAGAAGAGGTTCATGTTTATTGATCGTGAGAAGCATTTGAAGCAATTTTTTCTTTAGAATTGCTGACTCTAAAAAGCAGTTGTAGCTTTTATACCAGCAAGTACCAAGGTCATGTGTTTTTCAGAATCCAAAACAAAAACCAGCCCCTACAATCCCAGCTTGTCACTCTACAGGCTTGCAAGAAAACTGGTGTGAATTTAACACCCAGGAAGAGTTTCCCTCAGCAGAGACTCCTCAAGACTTAACATTTTCATTCGTATGTTATACTGAGGTTACCAGCGGAGGCTAACCCTTCAGAAAGGGTTAACGAATGGTGACTGCATGGGATGAGCCAGTTATAATACAGAGCAGGAGCTGAATATGTGGGATTGCAAACGAGATGTGCAAGCTGGGATTTTTATGTATTTATATGTAGGTATGTACACACATATTTATATATATGTCTTAAAATGAAATTTCACATCTGATTCATGATATATAATCAGCCTTGATGCTGCTAGTAATTATTTTAAGGATGGTAGAACTGGATTGCCCGGCTCACAGTCACAAGGAGAGTCTGAGTAGTCACTTCTGAAAAGATGCCTGTGACTTAGCTACTTACAATTCCTATATTGCCTTGAGTAATCTCTTTGAGGAAGGTCCCTGACCAGCCTCTCCTCAACAACGGCCACAGATTTTGGCCAGGGTGCAGAGAAGGGTCGGAGGCAAGGGACCCAGCTGGGCTGCCAGCTGTGCATTTCTCCACACCGCAAACCGAGATTGGGCTTGGTGCAAGCATTGCCTCCTGCTCTGTGTTACGAACTTCTTAACCTCGGCCTGTGTGTCAGTCAGTTTAAATCTGGGTTGGATTTTAGGCTTGAAATACAGTGTGGAAGTCTACCTTCAGGGTGACTAGATCCCACACCCTCTCTTAAAAATAGCTGCTGGTTGAGTTGGATCAATGCCCTCCCCAAGGACGTCCCATGAGTCCTGCTTAGGTGTGAGGACAAAAACTCAAACCAAAGCAATTCACATAGAGATTCAAAAGAAATGAGATGCAAACTGGAAGGCTCTGTTTTAATTTTCCAAAGAGTAGCAGACGACAAACTCCCCACCGGCCTGCTTCAGTTTCACTAGTAAACCTATAAATATGCCATTTAACTAACATGATTTGCAGGTTTTCAGCTTGAGGGTGATTTTATAGTAAATTAAACATCCAGCTCCCATGTACTGTACATCTTAAAAATGCAGATTTCATGAAGAATGCTCAGAGTACAGAAAACATATTGATATGATGACGTGCTCTGCATTCAGTGCTATTAGTCAGGGCTGATCAGTGGTGAAGCTTAAGAAAATTGCTATTCTTTTTTCTTTTGGCTAGGGGCCCAGCATAAAAAACATTTAAAGGGACAACTGTCAAGATCAGAATGACACATTTTCACTCCATCTGATAGAACAGCTGATACTATTAGGCTGAAAGAGTTTTTAACGATATATTCTCAGGCAAAGAAATGAATGCTTTTTCACCTCCGTAAGACTGGCTGTCTGGATTTGTTTCTGCATTTTTGGTCAGCCACTTTGTTCTTTCTAAAACGAATTCTTAGCTGCCGTGCAGGCATGGTTTGAGAATCAAATAGGCAGCGGACTGCAAGAGGTATGGGTCAAACATATTTAGAGGTCAGCAAACTTCCCTTTTGACCAGCCAAGCCTGCTTATTTGCCTGTGTGTGTTGGGTTGCTCCTGTAGATTGTAAAATGAGGAGTCCAACATACATGACCCAAAAAAGCGCTGAGATCGGGAAAGGCACTTTCTGCTGCTGGCTGGAGAAAGGATGGCAGTCTAAAGCCATCTCACCTAACTTTAGTCATCTACAGCTTAGATGGCTCAGCTAAAATGTTACAAGTTACCTGTTGTCAATGCCAAGAGATCAGGTCTTCCAAAGAGAGACTGAGCTCACCTTTTCTCAGCAAGGGATGGCTTGTTTCATGGGAGTTTCTCCCCAGCTACTGACAGCAGGAGGACTGTTCCCTTCAAGCCAACTTGGTCATCATGGTAACACATAGATGTCCTCAGCTCCAGTTGCAGGGACAGGACGAGAGGGCCTGGCCTGAAACTGCGTCAGGGGAGGTTTAGGTTGGGTCTCAGGCAGCCCTTCCTCACAGAGAGGGTGCTCAGGCACTGGGATGCTCTGCCCAGGGAAGCGGTGGAGTCACCGTCCCTGGAGGGGTTTAAGGAGAGGCTGGATGTGGCACTTAATGCCACGGCCATTGCGATGCTGTTGTGTCATAGGCTGGGCTTGATGCTCTCAGAGGTCTTTTCAGGCCACAACAATTCTGTGATTCTGTGAGGAATAAATGACCTCTGAGGGACAAGGCTTGGGAGCTGTGAGTGACCTGGGCGATCAGAGCAGGCCAAGCAGAAGGCTGCGGGGGAAGAAGAACAGGGCACAAGGACCAGCACCTCTGTGCACATATTTCATAAGCATTTCACTACTGCTTCGTCATTCTTTCTCTCACACTAGGGGTAGGTTTCAGTAATTCAAAATCCAGAAGAATTAATAAATTTTTTCTTTTTTGTGAACGTTTGATATCACTGTTTCTGAACCTTGCTCACTGGCCTAGCTGTACATTCCAGCTGGTTTGCACCACTCCGGGGGCATGACGGAGACAGAACCAGCCGTAAGCAGCGAGTAGGATGTGGTGGGTGAGTACCCCATCATTGATGGAGCAGAAGCAGCCAGAAGGTCACAGTGAACAAGGCCTGAAAGTCTAGTTACAAGAAGGAAGGTGTGAAACTGCACAGTGTCCTGATTAACTAATTCACCTCTAATCTATCAAACATACTACAAACCTAAGTGCAGTCAGTGCGACACATACAGTGCTAAGGCTGCTGGAGTCGCGGTGAGAATCTTTAGCCCGAATGCAAGAACCCTGCACGATGAGGTGCAGATTTCTGCTCTAACATGAGACACGTTGTTCTTGTAAGTCCATCAAGACAAGTTCTGCGATGGCTGGCACGGGTGCCAAGGCACCACTCTGAATCCAGAGCGCTCCGTTAGCCATCGAAGGGTATCTGGGATGAAGTCTGCCTTTGCTGGGAGAGGCAACTGTTTTCAAACCAAGCCTCTTGACAGCCCTACATCCAGCCTGAAAAATAACATCCTGAAGGGTCTATTTTTTTAGCTTTACTCAATTTGGTTCAGTAATTGAGTATTTCTTGTAGGCTGTATTAGATCGCTTGTGCTGGCCCAGGAGAATAAAGGAGTAGAGATTATTTTCTGTATGCTACAAAAGAATTAAACCCTGTAATAATCATGGGAAATCTCCCTGAAGATTCAACAATCTTTCCTTTTGTCTCTTCTAGCCCCCCAAAATTATGATCTGAAAAATCAAATTTGTATCCCTTTATTATAATTTTTTGAGGAGTCCAGTCAGTTAAGAAGTACATTTTTGGTAAAGAAGTTGTCTTCTTTTTCGAGCAAATCAAGAAATAGTTAATTATGTATATATTTTTTTTAATATTTTCTTTTCATCCAGAAGGGAAAGGTGGAAAACACACTTTTTATCCCTATTTGTAAGCCTGTGAAAAACCCTTGCAACACAATCTGTCGAAGTCACACCTGGATCGGGAGCTGCCTGCATTAATTATCAACTTTTCTATGTGTTAGTGCTAACATATGGCATTTAATTACTCCTTCTAAAGTTGCAGATTGGCAGAGTTGTGCCACTTAAAATTTCAATTTTTTTCCCCCCAAGTTTTCACTAATAAAATAAATAAAAATAAATAATAAGAGCACTGAGCTACCACTTTTTTAAAAAATAAATAAAACAACAATAAAATCTAACAGAAAAAAGTCATAATTTTTCACAAATTGGTGCTACTTTGATCCATTTAAGAGGATACTGTCTGGAGGATATGGGCCTGAAAGTACTGACGGTATTCAAATCCCGACTCAAGACGCATTTATGTGTTTCCTAAATTTTTGCATATTAATGCCCACAGACAACTTAGAGTCAAGAATGCATTTATGTGCTTTTCAGCATTAAAGTGCAGGAAACCCTTTTGTTTGAAAAAGAGGAAAATATCTTTGAACAGACAAATACTGTGAGCGATTAACATTCAGGATGAATCCAGCAACGGTGAGATGACTCAGACACATGAGCAGGGAAAGAATGGAGATGATTGCATAGATCTGTCAGCCACCTAGTTCCTACCCAGACAAAACCCACAGATCTTCAGGTTGCACATAAAGTCCTAAACCTGCAGAAGTGCCCAAGCACTTGCTCAAACGTGCGCAGGAGGCAGCTCTTCCATACCCATCTCTGTTTCCATGAGGCAACGTTGGCCTTTCATGCTAAGGGACAGGTTTCTGAAGTGAAACCTGCTCAGGGACAGGTTGCTGAAGGGATGCATACAGCTGAAGACAGAAACAGTGATGGAGCTGACGCTACTTCTGAGCTTGAATGCTCGTTGAAACCCTTTTTTCAAGGGACTCACAAGACAGGGAGAGAACGTCACAGCAAATACCAAGGGGACCTCTCCTTCCTTCCGGTGGAACTTGAGCAGGTCTCTCAAGCCTTCACAAATATGTGCAAGCTTAGAAGAACTGTAATGAGTATTCAACCTCTTATACATATCTTTCCACAAGTTATCTGGAAATTTTGACCAAAAGAATTTCTTTAACTTCTTTGAAACCTGAGAACACCAATTTACCCATAAAATGCAGTGGGATCTTCCCACTACTCGGAAATCAAAGGCTTTCAAGCATTCCTCTAAAGCTTAAATACCATGGATCATGAAAACCAAGACGCCTTGGCATGCCTTATTTCTTCTCCCCTTTGAACTCACCAATCTGGTTGAAGAGGTAGAGTTTACAATTTGCTGTTGGCACTGATAATATACCTCTTCAGAGGGATAGCCTGAAGCACGTGGGAAACACGTGCCAAGCAGGCCTCCGCATCTCCCGTGCTGCTGGTTTGTTATCTTTCTGGCTCTCCAAGCTGCTCAAACTTCCACCTCCTCCATGGATCCCACGCCTACGCTCTGTATTTCTGAGAAGTTCTACCATTGCTACCATCATTATGGTATTAGTTTGCCTTCTGCTTTCCCAGTCATTAAGAGTTCACCACCCGCAGAACACGTTTACCAAAGATATTTATTTTAACAATTACAACCTCTGATCCGTCAGTATGTCTTCCCCAAAATACAAAGAAAGGCATGAAAAAAAAGGAAAAAAAAAAGCCATATCCATGTGATTTTCATGCTAGGGGTGGGTGCAAGAAAAGAAGACAGTATTCACAGAGTGCAGAGAGGTGTATCATGAAGATAACCCTGGTCTACCAGCAGCAGCAAGGAGCTAACCTACCCTCCTTTCCAAGCAGCTGCTACTTGCACAGCAAGACAGAATTTGCACAATTCCCCCTAGTGCTTTCCCAATATGTTCAGTCACCTTTAGGAAGAAAAGCTTCGGGCAATGAACAAGTAACTCACTGGGCGTCAATTCTGGCCCACCGCCTCGTATTTTTCTAATTTGCCAAGGAACCTGAGGTGAAATTTGACTTTGAAAGAAGAAACCACAGAGGCTATATTTAGTTCAGAGGGTCCAGGCCAGTGTTCTTGTCCCTAAGGGAAAGTTGAGGCTATTGCAAGCAGGAGAGATACTCGGGACTGCAGTAGGGATTTCAACAGCAAAGTTCTCCTCGGCCATGGTGGGGCCTGAAAACTGGGGTCCTTCTGACCATACAAGCGCCTTGGCTTCTCTTCTGAGTATTCGAAGACAGCAAGAAATCCCTGCTAAAACTCAACCCAAGAGAGAGAGAACACCACTCCCTTACAAACGAGGCACGGCTCACATTTCCTGTGCTTGTGGCCAGTTTTGTTTTGAAAGCTGTCATAATAGGAAAGCTAGCATAATGCAAAGTTTTCAGTTTCTTCCAAACTTTATAATCCTTAGAGAAGCCTGAAATTGGGATGCACTACAATTAGCAAAAAAAGAAGCCTTAAAAAAGCCTTGCGGAGAGATTTAGAGCCCAATCATAATTTACATTTGCAGGTATGTAGATCTCTAAGTGCACGGCTTCTGCCCTGATTACTAATTAATGAGGTGCTAAGATGCCTGTTGGAGGAACCAGCTCTGATTATGTGGGCCTTATGGGAAAATGAAGCTCTTGCAATCTAAGAAGGCAGATGATATCTTTAACATATATTTTAGAAAATTACAGGAACAAATCAAGGGGCAAAATATACACATGTATATATTTTTAAAGAATCACACACAGCCAGGTTGCGTTACCATCCGATTATCTTATTTCCTTGAATATACAAACCTGGCATCTTTAATAGATTTAGTATGCTGTCTATTTTGCATGTCATATACATCCACTTAGGCAGTACCCTAGTATTCTGAACGGATATTACTGTCTTTAGAGCATTCATTTTACAATTGTTGAGAGGAGTAAGTACATAGAGAGCTGCAAGGTGGGTTTCCCAGTTCAGAACCAAGCATATGAATAAAACCTAAATTTGGCTCATTGAGAACAGCATCCTTCTATAAAAAGGAAGGTTAGGCAAATGTCTAAGGCCCATCAGTTGCTTACATGGTTTGCTAATGTGGGATTTTTTTTTTTTTATTTTCAACCACTAAAATTTCATCTCTGTCTTATCAATATGAGGTGCTCCCACTTCGCTGCCAGGAGAATACAAGGGGAAGATGTATGTAGCGACACCGGTTGTGACATACAGCAGGCACAGGGAAGACCATTTTTCAGAATATTTCCTTCCTTCTTTAAAGCAGAGGATAAACGGGAGTTCAGAGCAGGTCAACAGCTTCCCCAGCACGTCAGGTGCAGGGAAAACAACCTCATATAATTTTCACCACACAAGGAGTAAAACACTCTCATAATGTTGTGCTTCAGTTTAGAGAGAGTCACAATTAAGTAAAAATAAATTAAACACATACCATTTGACTTTTCACTATCTGCAGGTTTCATCTGAATAGGATGATGCATCTAAAGACAAAAATGAAAAAGAGTAAGGCAGGCTGGATAGTCACAAAATATCAAGAATTAGGCTTTTAATTAAGTGCTCAGAAGATACATGACTAATATTAAACATGCTGAAATTAGATAAATTCAAAAAACATCATATTATAGCCTGTTAAGAAAAATAAAATGGTAAAGGAGCATTTTATAACCAGGAAGATGAAAAAAAAAGATCACTGGACCCACAGGACTCATACAGAACTTTAATTTGCCATATCTAGTTTCAGAAGATCTCTAAAGTTCCAGCCCTCATTGGTTTATGGCATGTGTGGTTTCTGTTTAACCAGCTTGTATTCCTTGAGCTCAACCACTGCCAAAACAAAGATGGAATTTTCAAGTAATTTAAGAGTAGGCAAGCATTTCAAACATACTCACAGGAGCTGAGTTTGACAAATGAACTTCGCTTGTGATTAAGAAAACATGCGCTGACTCTTTCAGGACCAAAGAGGAAGAGACTTGTGCTTCCTCTAACTGTGCAGTACCTCATCTTTTTGTTTGTTCATTTGTTTAAGAACACATTATGTGTTCATTCATAATGTTTCCATCACAATATGGCACAATTCTGGCTTCCATAAAAACTCATAATATTTTTTTTAAACCTCTTCCTCCATTCATGTCCCTTTTATGGTGAAAGAAACCGAGCCCCGAGTGCATCCTACCTTGGCACACTTGGTATGGTTTCTTCTTAGCTTTCATTACTAAGTGATGCTCCCCCCACACTGAATTGATCATAACTCCAACAATTTATTTTTTTTAATGAAGGGTGTTTTCTGTTGTTTCAGGAGTACTAAGACCACAACAGCTGAGCTCCCTCTGCTCAGAGTGTGTGGCTTTTCACTGGACATTGGTTATAGCCAGCTGTGTCCACTGTGACGCATTCAGGGATATTTTATTACAGGCTCCCAAAAGACTTTGGAACTGACCCCACATTGAGTTTCAGTGTGGGAGATGTTTAAGCCTGCAAAAAAACCCCACTTTTATTTTCTTTCATCAGGCTCCACAGAATTGCTGGGATTTGACTGTACAAACCTTCCGGCAGCCGCAGGGCCACTGCCTTTTCTCTCCTCAGCAATTCCTCACCATTTCACATGAGCAGGTAAAAAAACTATGCTCGTGCTGCTTTTGTATCATTTTTCAGTGCAGCAGAGCCATGTATTGCCTGAAAATGTCAGAGACAATTCTTTTTTTTTTTTTATAAAAGACTATTACAACAAACTTTGGGAAATAGAAACAGCTGAGCAGGAAAGAACATCCACGCACTCATATCAAATATGCTTTCAAAGCGGCACAGAAAACCAAATCTGCATTGCTTTTGGTGGAGTCACTTAACCTCCAGGGACACACTTGCTAGAGTCTTCAGAAAATATAAAATATTGCTGTGAATGTTTCTGTACGATTTACTCCAAGTCCAGAACGCTCCCTGGCCCTGCAAATCAATGCATTCCTCGTACTCCTTGCAAAACTCTCACCCTGCCCTAAGGAAAAGGCAAAGCCATAAGGTGGATGTAGTCACCAGGATGCATAAATTTGCTTCAATTTTTACAATTCCGTTCTCTTTGAATCATTTGTTTCCCAAACAGACTTTAATAACCCAGTGCTTGCCTGCCACCATTCTTACTCGATCCAATTTCTAGAAAAAAGGGAATTTCTACTGCACTCTATCTTCTTTAACTAGTGCTTAACGTTTATCCTGGCATCCACAATACACTGGGCACTGCAGGAGAAATTAAATTCACAGGACTGTGATGCAGCACGTCCACTCGGCAAGCAAAAACATGAAAGAAGACAAAAAGTGCAGCTTGCCCCATGAGCCCATTGCAGGTATTGGCGTCTCTGAGGAGCAATGGAGCGGTGAGAAAATAGAGGAAAGAAAATCGAGCATTGTAAATTTGAGAAGGCGCAGCATACAGAAGAAAAAACCCAACTCAAATCCAGAATGTTCATAGACAATGTATCTAGTGCTCTTTCTAGGTGCATTTACACACTCGTAAGTGGCAATATTTTAAATAAAGGCAATTTTAACAATGTTTAAAACCTTTGAACTTTTTAAACTGCCTGAACCAGAGAAGTCAACTTTAGACCAAATTCATATGAAAAAGTTCTTTGCAGCTCCACGGTGATAACATAAAGACCGGTGTTACGTGACAAACACAATCAACACATTAGAAATCACCCTCTTTTGTTACACATAATGACCCCAAGTTCCTTAAGTCATTAATCTGTTCGGTTCACAAAGTGAGAGGCAAGATTTAACAGGACATTTCAACCGGGTTTTGACTAGATTTCAAAGGTTCCGGCTAAATACCTGTGGTCCAAAATCTCTTTGCACCACAAAGTCGAATCACGAGCGATACTGCTGTGCTTAATAAAATCACATTTGATGCAAAACTAATATAAGATTCAGATCAGGCCTGGAGAGTTTAAGCCACCGAACACTCACGGTAAAATGGATGTGATACACAAACATGGCTTCAGCGAAGAGGAAGGTGGAAAAATACTGTTACTGACAGTTTTGTAACATGAGAGGGCTCGTGTTGAAGCTTGTTTAACCCTGACCATCACCAACCGATACGTTAACAACCTTTAACACTAGATTCAATAAAACATGCCATTTATAACCTGAAATGGGTTTTACAGAGTCACTGGTTCGCATCTCATTATTAAACTCATTGCTGACCTCTAGAGACAACTGCCGTGACAATACATATTATAAGCTCTCTACACATAAAATATTTAAGAGTAGGTGTAAAAAAGAAAAGAATGAATCTCAAAGAAGTGTGCAGTGAATAAGAAAATTAAAGGGGCAGACACAAAGGCTAAATAGGTACTATCCTTTCACTCTACAATGAGCAAAAGAGAAAATAATCTATGCGTTTTATATCTTGCTTGTATAACTGCAGGCTATAAAATAATAAAATAGCTGCGCTTTCCGAGGCCCTCCAAAAGATTATAGATGATATAAACCTGTTTCAAATTAGATGCCACCCACTAGAATCATGTCATCTACTGAAATGAAGGATTTCATGTCTTATCAGAAAGCTGTTATTGTAGCTATACATCACAAAGCCATACACTTATGGATCTCAAGGTAAGCGATTTCTCAGTGTGTCGTCTTGTCACATAGAGAAACAGGAAACATTTTCTTCCATGCTTTGCTTATGAAAATACAGTATTTATGAATGCACAGTTACAATTAGTAAATAGGCAAAAGCAAGAAAAATAACTGCCACAAATCATTTACAGACATTAACATCAGCCTGTGCTCAAGCCATAGAATCACAGAATTCTCAGGGTTGGAAGGGACCTCAAAGATCATCTAGTTCCAACCCCCCGCCATGGGCAGGGACATCCCCCACTAGATCAGGCTGAACC